GTTTCCTTCATTGCAGAATAAAAAATCTGAGTTAAAATCAGAAACCATTTATCTTGAATCTGGAATCTGATGCTCTTAACTTTGGTAAACCTTTTACCATTTTATATTCTTGCTTTGGGTAAGGTTAGACGCTCTGCAATTACAGGGAACATTTTTTCCCCCTAATTTATTTGTTGATATTTTTCTAATATCTTCTACGAAGGAGGTCATTATCATTATTCCTGTTTTGGCGGGTTGCTAGTCAGTGACTATTTTTTTGGCAAAATGCCTCCATTTCTGACTTAAGCTACGTATGTTAGTTTTGTCTGTGGACCACAGTCGCACAAAAATATGTGTTCATTACAGAAGAAATCTATGAACATATACAGTGGTGGGCAAAAGTAGGTTCATAGTTGTAGTACAAATAACACAGTAATCAATAAATAATACAAGAATAAGCTCTGTTTCTCATACTCACAGCTATAAACCTACTTTTGCCAACCCCTGTACTTAATTTGTCAGCGCTACGAGGAATTGTGATGCTAATATTTACTGAGCTTTGGCTTTGTAACAGGTACTGCTGAATTCTTTAGTTGAGTTGTCTCACTCATTTGCACTGCTCTGCAAAGTGCTGAGTTACTTCTGTATCCCTGCTGAGCAGACGTGAAGCGGAAGCTGAGAGCGCCCAGGAAACGGGTCCACAGACACACAGATAAGAAAGGATGCCTTGGGTATTCAGTCTAGGTCGATCTGACTTCAGAGTTTAGGCTCTGAATCACTGCTCTTACATTAGCGGTTTCCAATTGGGAATTTGCAGATTAGCAATTCTCTGTAATTCACTTCTGCAGAAACTTCCCTCATTTCTCAAGTTCCAACTGTGTAATGGGGAACAATAAAATACCTTTAGAGCACTGGTTATCGAACTTGGCTACATTCTGGAATCACTGAGGAGTTAAAAAACAAACAAAACAAAAACGGGTAGCTGTGTCCCACCCTCGTATGTTCAGAGTTAATTTGTATAGAGTGTGGCCTGAGCATTGGGATTTTTGAGAATCTCCCAGATGATTCTAAAATGCAGCAGAGTTTGAGAACTCCCGCTTTGGAACAATACAACATTTTAAATTCTAAATTTCTATTCTTCTGTTAGCAAAAAAAATAATAATGTTTTTATTAGAGAAATACTACATATTTACTTTAGAAACTACAGACAACCAATTAAAATTATTTGTAATTCCTTCACTGAATAATAACCAGCATAGGACTTGGCTGTGTATTTTCTTCTTCTGAGCATGTTTGTGTATTTAAAGCCTTACCTGTAACGTTACTCTTCTGTAGAATTTTATATATTTAATGCCATATTGCCTTTTATCTCTCTGACCTAGTCACATGCTTTATCAGACTGAGAAAAGTTTTATTCTTATGCACATTTAGTAGTATTGTTGATTAGCCCTTATTGGCCAGTAACTCAAAGTAAAGCAGCATCTCTATTAACGGAGAATTTGTGATCTGAGGTAGCATTGAGAAGACGAACCGATAGCTGTATCTCTTTGTACTCCAACTTATATAGCACTCTTTCAGACAAGTACTAGTAAACCTTGGTTTGCTTCCTTGCCTTCCTTCTACGTTATTAAGGCACAGCCCGTGGGGTTCAAACCCCCGGGCTCTGGCATGAAGTACACACTCAGTGAATGCTGGGGTGCATGAGCAAGCAGACAGATGTGCTCTGGGATCTGAGCTGGGAGTGGTGGTTATAGCCTGAAAAAAACTAATTACTGAAGAAAATCAGTAAAAATTATTTGGGTGTGGCGAGCCGGCACGGCCATGGCATACTCAGCCCCGGGACGCCTTACGTGCCACGCCAGCCCAGCCTGGTTCCGTGACCCTGAGAGGGGGCGGTGAAGGATGGAGAAAAGACAGACAAGAGAATGAGCTGGGGCTGGGTGGGATGCTGCTCCCAGATGGAGAGACAGCGCCACGGTCTACAAGCTGTGTATTTTATAGCCAGATTCCACGAGGCAAAGTAAGGGCGTGGTCAAGATGATTACAGCATTCTCGTGGGTTTCCGTCCTACTCAATTACATGCACCTGAACTCTATCAAGCCCACATCACTCAGACACGTGGGGCCATGTGTTCAGACCATAGGTTCAAGCTTACAGCTACAGCTGTTGGCTATAATTGTGCTGGGAGGGCTCTGCCCTCCAAGCTGGGACTTGCACGTGGCACTGAGAGGACTGTGCCCTTTCATTAGTCCGAGGCTTGAACTTGTCCAAACACTGTAGCCGCTCTTCACATTTGGGAATGGTGGAACAGTAGGAAGAGAGAATAAGAGTGGGGTTGAGATGAGGACAGGAGCTAAGGGCCACTTTAGGAGATAGGAAAGATGCAGATTCTTCAAGAAATGTAAAAAGCCCTGTAGTTCCAGAAATATCCCGGCCTTGGCCCCCAACAGGCTCAGTCTGAGTTCCCTGACCTCTCCCACATCTCTATCTTTCTATTTCATCCTCCTGCTCGTTTATCAGAATAAAAAAAGCTGAGTCAGGTATACTTTCAGAGTAAGAACGAAAAAATTTTCTGGGTTTGCTGCTCCCCAAATAGTTTCCTGATAAAGATTTGGAGGAGAAACCACTGTAGTATAATGGGGTTCAGTTAGGATACAACCAGAGTCTGTCAGTTAACAACCATCATTCCCTTTCCTACTGAGGTTGGGGACGGGGAAGAATTTAAGAAAAAGATGGGGAGGGGACTCAGAGCATTGCAGACTAATGAGGGGTTACCATCAAGGGGAGAGGGCCCTTCCGGGAGATGGTACAGGTTTGGTAGGCAGCCTGGTCTTCAGATATGCTCGCTGAGGTACTTTTGGTTTTGCAGCCACAAAAGCCAGGCACCTCTGCATCGCATAATTTATGAATGATTTTGTTTCATATCCACTTCTTTTAGTGTGACTTTATAATCATTAGATTTCTTACGTCAGAATTATAATTTCTTTTGGCTCTTAAAAACTTCATTAGTTTTTAAATGAGGCTGTCCATTTTAAACAAATTTTTATTAAAAAGGAAAAATTGCTGATGTTTTACGTCGTCAGTGTGTAAGAAATATGCATGATTTATATTGCTGAAATCCATTAGCATTGAAACATTATGTAGTTCCAAAAGTGTCAAGAAAAATGAGAGGCTATTTCTCTATTCTTCTTTCTCTGTTTTTATTGAATTCACGATGACTTTTAAAGACTATAAAGGCATTAAAGGTAGTTAAAACTGCAGACATCCTGCTTTACTTAGAATTAAACGAAAAACAAAAATGAAGAATAAAATAGCAAACCTGGTTTATTTATCTGAATAATGCTTATCATACTACAACACCATAATGAAAGACAGGGAATCTTTATAGTTACGTTATTTTTATAGCTAACTAAACAAAGAAAGAAAATGCTAGAGGTGGTATTTCTTCAGGTAGATATCAGAGGTATTCAGTCCAGTGAAACTGGGAGATTTCGAGAGCGCTGTGCCAGGCGCAGAGCCAGGAGTGTATTATGATTTAATGGCATCGCCCTGCTGCTTTGGATGAGCTGGCCCAGAAAACATTTGAAGCAATAACGCATCCATTTGGCTCCTAAGTGATGAGGGAGGCAGTGCTCTTCGCATTAACTATTCAGGAAGAAAAGTGACCAGCTGCTAATGAGCTTTGTCCAAAGGGGGCAGTGGAAAACAGAAGAAAGTGCGAAGGGGAGGTTCTGTCCAATTTCATACGCAGTTACCCAATACCCAGAGCTCCTCTTCCATGCGACTCGGGCCTGCTGTGTGAGTGGGAGTGCCTGTCAGATGAATTCAAGGCTTCGTGGTCTAAGGAAGGATTGTGTAGCCTAATCTAATGACAGATGAGAGGAGGCAGTGACTGGTGAGTAGCTGAGATTGGGCTGATCTCTCTAGTTTTAAATACTGGACTTATTCCCTAAGATGAGCAGTAGTGATTGAGGCTTGATAGTTACTCCTTTTGGGAAGGGGTCCTTTTTTTTTTTTTTTTAAAGATGATTATTGCTTTTTCATGACTTGGGCAATCTGCTGTATAATGCAATATGTAGATTATCACTGGATCAAGTGGCTTCTAACTTGAGAAAAATGTATTTGCTATGTAAATAAGTATATCATCTATCATTTGAAAATAGTTTCAGCGTAAGAATATGATATTTTGCTCCTCTTCCACAAGTAAATAAATGGTCCCTTATTTGCAATAAATGCTTAGGATTTAGCAACTTCGAGATTACAACCAAAATATTGTTCTGACACACAAATAGGGGCTTTTTCAAGTCATCTTGGGATCTTTGAATCACTTTTGGTGCTATAACAGCATGAAGTTTTAATTTCACTTGCTTTACGATTCTTAATATAATTAATTTGCTCTCTTTAGTGACATAAAAAAAGATGAAAGTCAATTTTTTTTTTCTTCTTAAAACCAATTAAGTGGCTTTTATGCTAATTCTTCTCCACTGCTCTTACTAAAAAGTAATACAGTGGAATTCTACACAATGGGGGGGGGGGGGTCCTTCATATAAATTATTTTAAAATAGGCAGTGGAAGTATGTAAACCCAACATTAGTTAATAATAGTGTTCTTGGTACTATTCTACGCCAATTACAAAACCATTTAATGGTGCATTCTTTTGATTTTCATTTTTTAAAAATTCCGCACTGATAGCTATGCATTCAATCTAAGCTTACCATGAATTATTTTGAAGTATATTTAAAATTAATTTTCAAGGTATATTTTATGAAATAAGAATTCATTGTTTATTTGGGCTCAAAGCCTTTGGTAAGGGTCTCAAAAGCCTGATAAATGCATAGCAATGAGATCAAAATCATAAAAGGTTCCTTACAATTTTTCTTACCTAGACCACATTGTGTCATACTCAGAGAACTAAACTCATTTACTTTACAGCAATTCTTTCTTTAGCAAGGAAATGAGGTTTTGCAATAATCTCTCTTGTTGGTCTTTAACAATCATTTAGATTGAATTATACCTTTCAGATAATCACTCCATTCAGAAGACTAATGCTATGCGCTGAGAACAGAAAGGAGATGGAGGATTGGATCAGCTCACTGAAGTCTGTACAGACCAGAGAACCTTATGAGGTAAAGTAACAGCTCTTCTGTCATCTCGTGTTCTTAGAGCATGCTAATTGAAAAGCTAACGCTGTATTCTGCAAACATAGGTACGTATAGAGTCATTCAGCAACTTGTTTAAGCCTGATATTGCATTCTTTTTACTTAAAGCAAAAAGGTTTTGTTTTTAAAATATGGGTTTGAAATTTTAATCATAACTATATACGTTCTGAATATTAAGTATCTATAGTTTTGTTCACTTGTTTGGCAAATCTGTGCTAATGTCTCATTTCTAGGTGGCCCAGTTTAATGTGGAACATTTCTCAGGGATGCATAACTGGTACGCCTGCTCCCATGCCCGACCCACTTTCTGTAACGTGTGCCGAGAGAGCCTTTCCGGAGTCACCTCCCATGGCCTGTCCTGCGAAGGTACTGTAGCATCCCACATGTGTGGCCCTCAGACCTGACCGTACCGCCATTGGTACTTTTGAGAAGTGAACAGAGAAAATCCACCGTTTCCCTTGGGTGGAAGTAGTAGCTGGGAGCACCTCAGCGGGAACAGAGTGTTGATGTTTTATGGTGACTTACAGTAGACTATCTTGGGAAACGTTTGGCTCAGGAAAAGATAATATAAAATCATTTGAGAGGAAGTATAAATCAAAATGTAGCATTTGTCTCCTGAGGAACTAGGAACTACTTATTAAAAAAAACATTCTTAGACTTAGTGTGTTATCCCAGTTTTCTAGTATTCTTTTTCTGTTCTGATTGATTATGGAGTACAAAACTTTCTGTGAGGATACTATATAGTTTTGGGCAGAATTTCCAATTGTTACTTATATTGCAATAGAGCAGCGTTTGCCAACTGCTGGTCCATGAGGTCCAAAAAGTTGGCGACCGCTGGTTTAAGGAAACCTTTGGAGCAGTGGTTGCCAGCTGGTAGTCCACAGACCACTGGTGGTCTGTGAGATCCGAAAGGCTGGTGACTGCTGCACTAGAGGCCTGGTGCACGGATTCGTGCACTGGTGGGGTCCTTTGGCCTGGCTTGCACCCTCTCGCAATCCAGGACCCCTTGGAGGGTGTTGAAGAGCTGGTTTTGCCTGGATCCCCACAGGCCAGGCTGAGGAACCCCACGGGCCGCTAGTATGCATATAAGACCTATGGTTAATCTCTTCCTGCCCTCCTCCCTCCCCCCTTTCCTCTGAGATTCATCAGTCTGTTTCATGTTTCCATGCCTATATGTTGAGCATTTGCCCCCGGTGGTCAGTGCGCATCATAGTTACTCGTCAGACTGTTGCTTAGGCTTTTATATACATAGATTGTTTTAAACGCTGTTTTATTTCATTTATGTTTCATTTAAATTGATGCCAACCTTTTAATTTCCTTAAAGTTTTCTGAAAATAAGGCCTATGCTATTGTTTTTATAAAAGGATTTGTGGATTATTTTGAAATTTAAGAACAGTGACCACTTAAAGGAAGTGCATTAATGATTACCAAGAGAAAATTCATACCTTCTTTAGATTTATTTAATTTCGTGCCTCAGTGATCAAATCATTGTGTACTGCTTTTTGAATTATCTATAATACTATTACTACCTTTTTTCTCTAATACAAAAAATCTTAAGTAATTTTGAATATAACTTTATTATAATTAAATAGTTAAATACAAATAGAGTCCACTTTTAATTCATTTTAAAGAAGCTTTTGGTATGTCATTAGTTCAGCTATTTAATATGCTATGTAGCAGTTGAGAACAGAGCGCTGCACTTAGACCCTTGGGTTCCTGTTTCACTTCCAGCATTTCATTGTGAGCCGGGGGAAAGTTTAACTTTTTCAGACTTTTATTTCCTCATCTGTAAATGGGGGATAGTAGTCATTTACATCTAATAACACATTATGGAAGCTAAATGAGGGAATACATGTAATAAAACTTTTCCAGTTAAGTATATTATAGAAATTTTAACTGTGCTCCAAAAGAAATTTTTCAGGTAAAATATTATAGATTGTGTCATGGCAGATACATTAAAATTTATAAAAATGAATATTTGGAGGAGGTATTAAACACTGTTAAATGTAAGGAGTGATTGCAAACAAATATATAACTGGCCTTTATGGCTTTAATAACCTAAAAGGATTTCTGCAGCTCCGAGCGACTCCTGCCCGGTCTGTGATATTGCATGACATTATTTTGAAGGCCCTTTTACGATTACCTTCTAGTCTCTCATCTGAAAAATGCTAAAAGTGATATCAGATCTGAGGTACTCTGTGGTATCCTTCTGCTTTAAGAGTTAGACATTATTAAATATGTTTATTTAGAAACTGAGATTGATAGTGGGATGACTGAATATTTTTGTAAGCATTTTTACAGAAAAATGAAAATTACATCAGCTGGTGAGAATAAAAAAAATTTAAAGTGTTTAAATAAATGTGTTTTTATATTTTTCCGTTAATAATGAAGTCTTCCTGACTTTTAAAAAATTCTCAATGATTGTATTTTTAAATTCTATTTGTAGAGGCACATATGGTAGTATTTATTTTCTCTGCTGATAAAAAGTTTAAATCTACAGTATTTTGCCCATTAGTATTTTTAGAACTGTAGCTGAGGTTTTACAAATCCCAAGGGTTTTATGAACATACAAAAAAGTTGCCTTTTTATTTTATGAGAATGTGACTATTTAGGATATTTTTATTTAATCAATGTTATACTTAAACTTTAGACCGCCTCCCTTCCCAAATCTGAATCAACTACCTGCTTAGTAAAACCAAAGCCACAAGATACAAGAGGCTTTAAAAGTTATAACAAAGATGCAAGTACAAAAATATTTGTTCACTAGTGACAATGAATAACTGTGTGTTAGAATGAAGTCCAGCTTCCCTGAGTGAGGCTATACTACATTTCCCTAATTTCGGTTGTTGTTTTTCACAATAAGACACGGCTGTCCTGATTTGTCTTCTAGGTTTATATTGAAAAATAATTAAAAGTATTACTTTAAAGCCTTGCATACATAAAATATATGAAAAATAGAAGACAAAAGACTTTTTGTAAGTAATCCCCAAATCAATTGAGAATGTTAATTATAATTTAAGAGCATAATTATTCTTTATAGTTTTTAAGCATCAATTTAACAAAATAAGTTAAATGGTGATTTTTCCATCAATAGTATCAAATAGATCAGCTTAGGAAATTTCATTTTAACCACTGTTGAACACATAAAGTGTAGTAAAAACTGAATAAATATTTCAATAAAAAATCATAATTTTGTTACATGTGAGTATATTTTATAAGTCTTGGAGTTTTAAAATAATGGCTTTACAGCTCAGGGAAAAGTGCTTTATTTCAGAATAACTTGTTTGGAGAAATTTAATTGTTAATTAACAAAATTAAGGTGCCTATTCATCATCATCATTTCTTAGTCACCATAATTACAGTCTGGTTTGTATTATTATTATTTTATATTAGGCAACTTTGCAATTTTCAAGAATCATTTCATGAATTTTAATAGCAAAATTTTCAAAAGCCATGATGCCCTGACTGATTTTACTCAGTGGTTAGAGCATCAGCATCTTGAGTTTGATTCCCAGTCTAGGGCATATACCAGGATTGCGGGTTCCATCCTTACCCCAATCAGGGAGGATGTGTATCTCTCACATCAGTGTTTCTCTCTCTCTCCCCTTTCCTTTCTACTCTCTCTAAAAATCAATGGAAAAATTCTTGGGTGATCATTAACAACAATACCAAAAACAAAAAAAAAAAACATGAAATTATACCTTGTTGCCCTCTTTTACTTCCTTCTTTGCCTCTTAGAATACAGTTATTGACCATTAATGTCAAGTACTTGTACTTAAAGAGCAGCCTGGCATTATGCTACAGATAAAACTAAAACTAGGACCACATTTTTGAGCAACACCATAACAGATGAAGAGGCGTAGAGACACTAACTATAGTTTTAAAATAGTCACTTGTATTGGAGCAAAATGCTGAAATTGTTTTTCAAACTAAGCTTACTTTCTATAGTATTCTTTTTTACACTAATGTTTATCAGCAATAAAATTAAATTGAATAATGGTTGTATTCTACATGAAGTCTGTACTGTAGTCACATGTCCAGTATCTGTAGACTAGGAAAAACCAGCTTAGTTTAAGTGACCATACATATTTTGGTTATTCATGATACCTGAAGTATTTGAACATTTGATTATATAAATCTTAGTTATTTTACCTGACCCTTTTGTTTTCATATTACATTATGTTTGCTTTTAAAAATGATGTGGAACCCATCATTTCTTGTTTATGAATGGTTTACTGTTAGATATTAAAAATCATGTGAAAAGGAGCCACCTTACATTTAGAATTTAGCAACAGTTGCCTTATATTTCCACCAAAGTGAGCTCTGCTTTTAAATATTTACCTGAAAACTCAGACTTGTATAACATCAGTATCCATTAACAATTGGATAGTTTGTGTCATTTGAAGGGTAAGTTTAGTAGTAGTCAAGTTCTGATTTTCATAAGCAGGGTTAATTATTCAAATAATCGGTGGTTTACTTGTTTTTCATATTTATGTTGCTTCTTTCTGGTTATTTCCTCTTATTTTTCTCTCTCTTTTTATTCAGTATTTGTATATATTGCAAAATGATTACCAGAATAAGTCTCGTTGCCATCACCAACATAGTAACATACTAGTAAATTGTTTTGCTTGTGATGAGAACTTTTAAGATTTATTCTCTTAGCAACTTTCAAATATACAATACAGTATTATTAACTATAGTCACCATGCTGTGCATTATATCCCCAGGACTTATTTATTTTATAACTGGAAATTTGTACCTTTTGACCCCCTTCACCCATATTGGCCACCTCCCCATCCCTGACCTCTAGCAACCACCAATTTGTTCTCTGTATCTCTGAACTTCATTGTTGTTTTTTGTATTCCACATATGTGAGATGCTATGGTATTTGCCTTTCTCTATCTGACTTATTTCACTTAGCATATTGTCTCATATGGCAAAATTTCATTCTTTTTTATGACTGAATAACACACACACACACACATATATATATATATATATATATTACATTTTTTTATCCATTCACCCATTGATGGACACTTAGGTTGTTTTCCTATCCTGGCTATTGTAAATAATGCTGCAGAGAACATGGAAGTGCAGACATCTTTTTGAGTTAGTGTTTTCATTTTCTTCAGATAAATAACAAGAAGTGGGATTGATGTATGATATGGTAGTTCTGTTTTTAAAAATTTGAGGAACTTCCATACTGCTTTTCATAGTGGCTATACCA